TTCATAAATTAATTTTGATCAATATTAAATTTAATTAAATGTCTCAAGATTATATATACTAAATTGGATTAAATTACGAAATTAATCTGTTTAGCAAACAGAATGTCAGGTTTTGTCCAGGTAATCCTTTTTTCTAATTCGTTGATTCAGCTACATCAGAAAATCCCATTGTTAAAAAGATATATATATATTGTAAGAGGAAAATATTAATTTTTTACAAAAAGTCAGACATCTAGATTAATTTACAAAGATGCCCATAGTCAAGATTGCAGAATTTTCCTGTTTGACATGTTCATAGATCAATCTTGCTAACATGATCAAATCCATAAAGCATGCTTTAGTTTACAATCATGATGATGTCCGTAAGCTTCCATAATTTGCATGTTAAATCATGTTACATTGGTGATTATCCTTGGTAATACAAATATCCACTTTGTCTGGTTTTATTGCAGTATGCCCCAAATAATGTATGGTGAATTGTAAAATTTTCCAAATATCTATTATGTGAAACTTTGTATATATAGATTTTGGATCTAACATTAATATATAAATAAAATATTTTTCTCATAAAAATAAATAAATCACTACTTTAAATAAAATAAACAGAATTTTAAATCTAAAAACCATACAACAATAAAATTATTGAATGTGCATATTTGACATCCAAATTTCAAGATAATAAAAATTCCAAAGATATGACAATTGTGAGAAGTTATTACCTTTATATAATATCACTATTAAATATAAATAACCAATTATCTATAATTTCATTTCTCAAGATATTTAATATCACAAATATAATAGCCAAATAAATAAAATAATTTTAATACATAATAAAATGACAAAGATTTAACTTATTCAGGTAATCCATCTGGGATAGTTAATTCAATCTGTTGTGAAAATAATTAAATGTTAATAATTACCATTATTATTACCAATAATTGTTACTTTATTGGAATTCACAGGTTGGGGAAGGCTTGTAAATTTTAATAATCTACTAGTATGTACTGCACTTGGATGAATTGCTGTGGTAATTGTCAAAGGATCAAATTTTATTTCATCCATTTCATTAAACTCTTTTCTAATTGATTTTAATTTATCTTCTGAATATTCATAGTTTTCAGGATCATTTATTATATCATAATCAAATGATTTATTCCAAAGATAAATAATTTTATGAATTGCTTCAGCAGTTGGACGTTTATCTGGATTAACATCCATGCATCTAAATGCTAGTTCAATATAAATTTTTGGTGTGTTGTTTGAAAATCCAGGTCTTACACCTAGAGCTCCGAACAAGTCGGGTCGGGTCGGGTCAGTGGTTCAACCCGACCCGACTCGAACTTTTAAACAGTTGACCCAACCCGACCCGTTGGGTCAATGGGTCACAGATTAAGAAAATTACAAATGTAGATACTAATTGATTTAAATATATACAGTACATACAATATGTTCACTATTACTGCCACTTTTAAGAAATCTGTCCAACATCATTGCTTGTTTATTTACATTAACATCAAT